AGTTATTGAACTTCACTGTTATAGATTTGTCTCATATATTCTATACTTTTTTAGCACTACGAACGCGACACACAAGTTGATTGACTCAGCGAATAAAAGTGTTCAATCAAAATGGACTGATTCTACGCAACAAGGTAACAATAAATCATCCTTGGATAATTTGTCTTAGCATGATACCAGTATAATTTCAGGTGGTACTACACGTCTTATTGGTAGTGGAAAAAGTAAACAAGTTCGTGTGGAAGTATGAAAAGATGGCTCACTTCCACACTCACACCGACAGATAATGATCGTACTTGTGTGCCGCGTTCGTAGTGCTAAAAAAGTATAGAATATATGAGACAAATCTATAACAGTGAAGTTCAATAACTGTTGACGTCCGTTATTTTTTAAAGGCGTTTCTTCAATATCAAAATCAAAGTAGGTACCGGGAAATGTCTCGTTATTCAATGTGTAGTGCCACCATTCCAAAGGGTAGTTTGAAAAGCTTGCCATTTCCATTATTCGTTTTAAGTATGCTCGTGTTTGTCAATAGTCATCATTCACCAAAGTACTATTCGTATGAGAAGCCTCATCGGACAAATCGAATGAAGAATCCATGTCTACAGTTCCGTCATCAAGCAGCCAGATTATGTAGTTATCAGTGAGTGTTCGATTAACATACTGAATTGGATGTATTACTTTTTTCCCAGACTTGATAAGAGTTAGATCAATAGTGCTACCACGAGTGTGACCGGATTGGTTGGCTGTAAAGCCAAGATCAAACTCATCTAATTTAATAACCCGAGGATAGTAACTCTGTTTTTTTATTTGATCAGAAGCATTTTGACTCCAAACTACGAATTGATCAACACTTTTCTGTGGACGATACGAATCGTAAATAACTAATTCAAAGCCATCATTCTTTGCTAATGTTTGTGCTCGTTTGAGAGACAAAGCTGCTGCCTCTGTCATAATGGAAATATTTGCTTTATATCCATTGACGACACGACCAATGAAATTTTCCTCACTTGCATAACGTAAACTGACTTGAATGTCGGGTGCGATATCGTGTAAGTAAACAAAACCCAATGGTAAATCTGCAATCGATCTTTGTAGAAGAGCTGCGTAACACAGAAAATAAAAATGTATCATCATACTCATGACTACTTGCTTTCAAAGTGAAACAATGAGATTTATTTGCCGGTGCACTTTTTATTAACATTGATTCATGTGATATTTGTTCTCTTCATGCTTTCTTTTAGTAATCTACATTCTCAAAAGAAAGAGAATAAAAACATCGAGACGTTCTTCATTGCCAACACTACATGCGTCACCTTGACTGAAGGCGATTTACGGCATAGTTAGAATTATATTAGTCCATAGTTTGAAATCTCTCTAGTCATCGTTCTTGTTGTAAGATATTTACTTCTAAAGAATAGCTTAGCTTAGACTTGTGCCGAACTTCAGTTACTCGAGCTTCGTACATGCCTAATTCGCATGCATCTTGAACAAAAACCAGCCAAAACTTGCTAACACTTTTATATTCTTCCACAGCTTCTAAAGAAACTATGTTCAAATAATCATTTGGATAGGTGTGAGTGAACAGAGGATTGAAAGCCACACTCACTCACACCTCAAACCTACTTTTGTTCATATATTGTGCGCGATCAATTAAGTTTATGCAAGCAATTGAATATGAGTTCATTTTTTCTTGTTCAAAAGTAAAAACTTCCAAATATAAATACATGAATTGGATACCTCGTTT